AGCTATCTAATACCCCAAAGGCGACAGCAAGTTTTCCAAAGACTTTACAACCAATCAAAAACAAAAAAGCAGAAAATCTACATCAAACGTTTTTTTCCTGCTATATCCAAGGATACATTTGGGAAAAAAAGGAGATCAAAAAGGGAAGCCATGAACACTCTAAACTTCCATACTATACCCTCAAATTCCCTGAAATGTCATTTGTAAAAGAAAGTAGCCGACAATAAGCTTTCCTCACTGTCACTGTAATCTAATCAGTGACAGGTATGGCCTTCACAGGATTTTTCCAGTTCTTTTTTCTTTTACTTGTCCCTCTAGCCTATTTCCATGACAATAACTGTACTCTGGAGTCTTTCATTCATATTGAATTCTTTTTCTCTCATAGCAAGCACTTTTGATTTTGGTAGGAAAATAACAATTCAGAAGCATGTTTTGAGAACCAAAGGAGTCACAGTTTTATTTACAACTTTCTAAATGACCTTAAACTATAAGCATAATGATTCTGTATTCTGTCCTTTTTATAAAGCTTCTATCTTGAGAATCAGGAGATTTTTGTTTTTCCTTTTGAACTGATTGACAAAAGAGATTTTGGTTTCCAAATATAAAACTAATGACTACACCCTTAAGCCAAAAGAAATGACAGAGGGGGCTTCAGTCTACAAAATAAATTCTCTTAAATCTCTAAAGAAGTTGGCAATTTCAAAGTTTGAGCAACTGATGAACTTTTGAATTCTATCTAGGGAGACACCTAAGTTCAAAATGGGAAAACAAAACTGTACAGTTGAACAATTAGCATTTTCTTCTTTGTCATCGGATCCAAAGGTTCTTGCTGGCACTGAAACAAAAAAGTAATGACTCCATCAGCAACCTAACAGATGGCAGGCACAAAATGGCTCTAACCTTCCCCGAGAATCCTGGAGAACAGCTCCATGGAGTTTAATTTAACAGGATGGTGGCAGCTATTTTCTCTCGGCCACCTCTTACACAGCAGGACTGGCCATAGCTCAGAGCTACATCTTAAAGTCTGGCTGTTCAGCTACTCGGGTTAACCCTTTGAGACCAGCAAGGGTCTTGAATTCTTAGGAGACCCTTTCTCTGCATGGATCCCCTTCCAACAAATGCAACTCAAATTTTTGGTCATGACAAAATAGGCTGCCTATGGTGGAGTATTTTCAATCTCTTTTCTACTAATATTTAAGATGAGACATTGGAACTGTGTTTTTAAGGACAGTGAATTATATTTTTCTGAGGGGCCAAAGGCAGAACACTAAAAAGGAGAGGTGTCTATCTCAAATGCCTTCCCCCAGCTATTTTCAAAGGGTTAGCACTGATAGAACAACATTACCCTGAAGTTGGTGGGAGGCACTGCCACAGCTTAAGACCATCTGGGGAGAAGCCAGGTGTGGTGGCGCATGCCTGTAATCCCAGCACTTGGGAGGCTCAGGCAGGAGGATTGCTCTAAGTTCAAGACCAGCTAGGCTACATAGTGAGTTCCAGGTCAGTCTCAACTACATAGTGAAACCCTGACTCAAAAAACCAAAGAAAAAAAAAGACCATCTGGGGAGTTTTATGCAATCTTGACACAAGGGTTGCAATCTAGACCAATAGACCAAAAGGAATCTCTAAGAGTGGGTATCAGCACTTTTTAAAGCACCCCAGATGGTTCCAAACAGCAGCTAAAGTATGTAAGAAATGCTGCACTTTAAATTTCTACACGTTTCAAGCCAGGGATTTGGCTCAGTGGTTCCACTCCCTGTGTTACAAGAACAAGGGCCCAAGTTTGATCCCTGGTACCACAAAAAAAGAAAATGAGAAATGGATAAATTTCTACACATTTCTGTAAGTTAACTTCTATTCTGTTCACATCACACTGTGTTCGTCACTTAGGACTCTCTCTCTCTCTCTCTCTCTCTCTCTCTCTCTCTGCCTGCCTTAGTCTCTTCAAGGCTTGTGTTAAGGTTCCAGGGTTTGTAGGGTTAGTCCACAATAAGTATGCCATCCTGTACCCACAGAAATATCAGGGATGCACTGATAATGCAGCTGTGAATTTAGGGGTGCCCTCAGACCAGATGTAATGCCCAAGAGTCTGAAGGTAAAAAAGCTCACAATCAAGTGTCTTGTGCATTGCAATCACTGTGCACTGTAAAGTTCCTACATGGCTCAGATAAAATGATCTCATTCAGACCTGTTTCAGCCTTCTGACTATGAGGGGCCACATGAGAAGCTGTTACCTTCCAGAAGAAGTAGCACGCTCCTCGCTAATTCAGACTTTAATCATCCACAACTGTGCATCTGCTGATGAGCTTTGGAACCACCGACCTATAATTTTTGTGCTGATTGCACCACTGTGTATCGTACGCTAACCTTTTTCCTGCATCTTAACAATTATCTTTTGCTTTACTCAAGGGGTAGTAGGTGTATCTCATCTTACCACCCATAGTAACCCACTACTGCCACTGGTCAGTACTAAGATGGCATGAGCCTGCTAGTGACCCACTGAGGCAAGTCAAAAGGGAAGAAAATCCTTCCTTTTCTCTTGCATACAACAGGTGCTCAATAAATGCTGGTTAAACTAGGGACCTTACCCCTAACTATAAGTCATCACTACACACTAGCTCTAGCAAAGGAAGAGTGTCAGTAAGGTTTGGACAAGGCATTTCAGTAATAAGGCATAGAAACCCACCCAAATATATCTGAGTAAAAAGGAACAAACAAAAGGACAGAAACAAAAGTCTCACAGAAACAAAGTCTAGCCAGGGATTTAGCTCAGTGGCACTGTGCCTGCCTTGCAAGTGCAAGGTCCTGAATTTGATCCCTGGTATAGGGGGAAAAGTACAGAACACATAGCTGAGGCTCACAGGTCAACAAGAAGCTATTCTGACTCTCCCTTCCTCTTTTGGACCACCTAGTTTCACACTGCTGTCTATCCATACTCCTCCAGCAGTGGACCTCAGTCCTCTGATCCACCAGCACATGGCCCATTCAGGTCACCCAGTAATGATGGCCTCTGCGTATTTCTGGGAGAAACTTAATTAGCTCGCCTTATGGAAGGAGGAAACTACTACCATCATAGGGTTTGCTGCAACATTCTCACCGAGACGGCTGGAGCACATCAAGGTCATTACTACACACAACACAAGCTACGCTGAGAAATGAGATGTCCCCCAGAAACTGTAGTACACATAAATATTAGTTGTAAAATCTTTATTTCAGAATGAATGTAGGATGAAATTTCATAGGCAAACAACTAATTTATAGCTCTAAATCACACTGAATTAACACTGAATTAAAAACACTTTATCTTGTATAAAAATCTGGCCTGACAAATTTTCATTTGAATTTTAATCTACTTCTCTTCCACATTACAGAAAAGAATATATGTAAAAATACCAACACAAATGGAGAAAACAGTAGCTTGTATATCAAGAGAAATGATTTCTAGCCGCATGTCACTTATCTTGAGATCACAGATCTGACAGTTGCATTTGGACATTAGGAAATAAGCTAGAGGAAGGTATGTGAGACACTAAAACAATGTCACAAATGAATGCAGCCTAGTTCATTCATTTTAATGCTAAAAATGCCTCTGAAAGCCTCCGTTTACTGTTACTTGCCATAGAGTGTGCTGTTACACGATTTCCCAACCCCCTGGCAAATTAGAGGAAATCTACAGGCAGGCACAGAAATGACAGGTAACAGTGAAGGGAAAGATAATCTCTAAACACCACTTAGGAAATCAGAGAGCAAACACATTTTGGGAGCTATTCAGTGCAGGAGATTTAACAAACCTGAAAGAATTAAAAACAAACGATGATCCTGAAGAGATTTAATTATCTTCGGTAAATTCTGTTTACAAAAGCAAGAAAATGTATACTAAATTGAGAACTAATTCCATATTAATAGTTGAAATAAAAAAGTATGCAAATTAAAATAACCTTGAATTATCTTTACCATGCACCCTGAAATGTCTAATAGAAAATTACATATCTACTGCTTCTAAAATACACAAAATAATTCATATAAAAAGAATACAGCACCTTTTTAACCCACATATGATTTAAATCATAACACCCTTTTTGGTGAAAGAATCTCAATCATGTAAGGATAAGTTAAGTCAGCTTCTCTCTGCATAAGAACTTTATAGTGGTCTTCAGCAATCAACTGTATTGATCAGTGAGCCCTAATGACTAGAAAACCTTTTTAAGTAACAAGAGACATAGAGATAAAAAATATTTCTGTCCAATCAGAGTCTCTCCAAATGTGGTCTGTGAAACAGAACACCAAATCTCCTGGAGAACTTGTTTCAAAATGCAGATCCTGTATCCTGAATGAAACGGCAGGAGTCAGAATTTCAGGGGGAGGACAGAAGGATCTGCAGTTGTGCACCCCTCCCCAGGGGTGCCTGGTACTCATGGCCATCTGAGTCACACAGGACACCCCCACTCTGATATGCAGCCTCAGCAACCCAGTCAGGAGGAACCTGACCAAGTCTGTGACTTAACCCTTCCCAATCTTGTCCCTAGTGTTCCCGGTAACACACCTCCTGCTTTGACATTTCTTCTGTTACAATGAAGACAACAAAGTTAAACATGAGCATCTACATATTGAGGCAATACTCTTAAGTGAAATAAACAGGACACGGGTAAATACTGAATAGTTTCTCTGGTGTGAGAAACTAAAAGAGTAAATAAGGACTAAAAGGTATAATAATATGAAATAGGAAGAAAAGGGAAAAAGGAGAAGTGGGAAGGTAGGGGAAAGGATAAAAGGGAATGGAATTAATATGAGAAAATGAAAAAATGGAAACAGTCTTTATAAATAGGGAGGGCAGGAGAATGGGGAAAAAAATAAGAACCAAGATAGATTACATAAAGGTACAAATTTCGAATGATAAATGTCATTATATTGTATACCTAAAACGTACCAATAAAATTAATTTTAAAAATTTTAAATGAGCATCTATAAAGTATATATAATTTTTAAAAATCTAATATGCCCTGATTAATTTTTTAAAGTCTGTAAGATTTCTAAACCATGTATGTGAAGCTGGATTCCATAAATGCCTACAGGAGTGAAAATCCTGAAGAAAAGTGTTTGACAAAGGTCCAGAGGATTACTCGGGAATGAGGAAGGGAAATGCATCTGAAAGCAGTTGTGGAACAAAGGCAAATGCAGCTATGTCCAGAATACAAAAATGCAAACCTATTAAAAGTTGGCTGGAATGTTCAGCACTGTCCTTAACACCCTAGAAGCACAGGCTAAAAGTACAGGCTGGCAAACATGCACAGCCTGTTGAAGGTTTCAAACAATGCCAATATGCTGCCAACATATAGAAATTAGATTTCTTTTTTAAATATGTTTGTCTTTTCATGGGAAATCACAGCCATGTGGACACACAGTGAGGGAGCTGGGCAGCAGCTGCTTACTTTCAGCCAGGCGTGTGCTCTGGGGGTCTCTGTAGTGGCCCCAGCCTATTCACTCATTAAACCAACTACCAGGTCCCTGCATGCATTCGCATTGCCGGCCAGGCCTCACAGAATCAAGACACAGTTTGGGCCTCTCTGTGCCTCACTCTATTTCTAGTGAAAGAACAAACAAACACACCCCCAGAAAGATCCTTTCCTATCTCAGCAGTGTCAGGAAGAAATTAAATAAAGACTGCACATTACCTGGAATTTGTTGTAGAGTTCTCACCCTCAGCTGCCCACTGGGATCACCTGGAGAGCTTAAAAAACACTGATGCCTGGGCTCCATCCCCAGAGATTCTAAATTCTTAGTCTGGGATGCAGCCCCAGCATCAGGATGGCATAAAGTTCCCCCTAGTGGACAGCAATGATGGGAAAAGCTTTGACCTTTGGAGAGAATGCTAGTTGTCGAGTATAAATGGTTACATGTATTCCAACATCAGTCTCCAAATACAAATTTTTTGCCTCTCACCTCCATGAAAATTCTCATCACTTCCTACTTTTGGGAAATGGCTATAATCCCAAAAGCCTACCAAATGGCATTTACAAATTGGAAAAAAATCAAAATGTATTCTGATTTCTACCATTCATTTTTCCCTCCAACACAACTGAGGAATAAAACACTAAGGAAATAAGGGGAAATTATCCCAATACCCAATAGACAAAACTTAGGCAGCACAAGTAGCTCAAATACAATAAAAGAAGACTCACAGTGGCAGGCTTGTACGAAAAATTACAATTGCTTTGAAATTCATCAATGCACTAAGTAGAAAATTTTTCAAATATTAAAAAAGAACCATTTCCCCAAGACTCCAGTAATAGCTCGATTCTTAAGATAAATTCCAAATTATTACTTTTCAAGTAGAGTGTATTTATATTTTGGCTTCCTGTCACAGGAAATGCAAGCTACCATCACCTCATTTTTAAATAGTAATGCCACCTTACATTACAGTTGAAAGGTGTATTTTCAACATGGTTTCAAATAAAAATCTATTTACTGGACTTCTGAATGCCAGGAAGCACACAGTTAATCCCATTATCACATTTTATAAATTTTTTTAAATGAGCTTCAGAAAGATTTAAAATTATGTTTATGATCACTAAATAGTAAGTGGCAGCACTTGGATTCAAACCCATGTCTGTCTGTCTAACTCCCAAAACCTGTATTCAAGCTAAACTATCTTGTTTAGTCATCAAAACTCAGCAGAAAGACCCACAACTGATAGCACGATTTTCCCAGTTACAAAGAGAAGGGAATGATCTGCTCCATATCACAGAACAAGCTAAAGAAGCCAGGCAAGAGCCTGCCTTCTACTCTCTGCTCCCTGCCCCTTCACAGGACCAAGCACAGCTCATGTGTTACATTATAAAAGCTATAGGATGGCAGTTAATCATCACTTACGGATAGAAAGAAATTATTGATTTCTAAGAATCTTAAATATATGGCTTAGTTTCCACACAGATCTGAAATAGGCCTGTCTGTCCCAGGAACCCTAGAAAATCACATATCAGGGTGAGCAACCTCTCCAGAATCCTCTCGCTCATGAATCCCGTGAGCAATGATGCTCATAACACATGAGCACCAGCACCTCTGCAGAACTCTGTCCTACCCCTGGCTGCCGTGACACCATCTCAGATGACGAGAGGGATACCCTGAGGAGGACTGGCATCACCTGATATGGGTTTTCCCTTTATTTGTAAAATTGTAAAAAGACTGCATCATGAAAACCCAGCTAGAAAGTCTCATTTCCACGAGTCCCCCTACTTGAAAGCAGGATCCAAGGGGAGTGTGTCGTTTTATGTTCCGATAGGAAAGTGTCCTGTTCTTTGAGCTGCTGACACTGTATCTTCAAACCTGTACTCCAGGAACTCTGCCAATGTCGTAGCCAAGAGTAATTCTCGAAGGAAAAAAAAAGCAAACATGGATACAGCTCCCCTGCAAGAGAAAGCAAACAGGCTTTATCACCTAATAAACACGTCTTGCCAATCAATACTTATTTGCCCTCTTTTCTGAAGCAACTCCTCAGTCACCTGAATTTCATCACTATGGATAATTCTTGAAGAAATTGCACTCCTATCTCCTAATGATCTTGGAACAGAGCAAGCGCCTCATTTTATTAAATCCAACTACCAGAGGAACTGGTTCAGAGAGGAGTTTAAGATAAAGTTAAAACTGAGGTCTTAATCATTTCAACATGATAGAAACTCTACTGTGTTATCAAACCTCACCAAGTCCAGTCTCTCAACTGCCAGCGGCAAGAACAAACATGTCAGGGCTACTTGTTTTATTCAAAAATGACAGGAAATCAAAAATCTATCAAACGGATGTGTCAGCAGCAACGCCATAAGCATATTGGTTAGCGAGATTTATGTGCCTCCATTTTGGTTCACGACAAAATCACCTTCCTAGCTTTCTATTTTTCAAATGCCCACGTGGACACACAGATTAGAGAGTTCTAGGAAGTCACCATTAACAATGGGTACCATATACTATCTAATCATATTCTGTGAGGCTTTACACAAATTTGAGATGCCCTGGGACATAAAATATTAAATAATCTTTCTTCTTGCACATTTGTGTAAATTCCACAACATGTCTTTCTTTTATAAATTGAGAATTACAAACTCCCAAAGCTGGCATATTGAGTAAACTGTAAATAGCACCTATTACTGCTGCATCAGAGTGCCATTTTGTGTGCTAACAAGATGCTCATTTCTACTCCATTGTATATATGCAATGGACCTTGAGGAGCAATTTTAGTGACCACTGTCACTCATACTCCAACTTCACTGTTGTTATTTTAATATTTATGTATGCCTTACAGTAGCATCATCCAAATCTTCATGAAGTGATAATATTAGAATTAATGCAGGGGAAATAAATTATCAAACTACAAACTTTAAAAAAGAGGTCAGATGTGATTAAATGCTGTATTTTTTTAAATGCTAAATCAAGTATGGTGGCCCATGACTGTAATCCCAACTACTCAAGGGGCTAAGGCAGGAAGACCCCAAGTTTGAGAATAGCCTGAGCAACTCAATGAGAATTTATCTCAAAAATAAACTAAATTAAATTAAGGGCTGGGGATGCAGCTCAGTGGAAGACTGCTTGCCTAGCATGTGTAAGGTTCCGAGCTTGATCCCAAAGTGGGGGGTGGGGGTTTCACCACAACGACCTTAGGATGCTAACCCAGGAAACAACAGACTTTTTCTTTAAGGATCAGACAGCAATTACTTTAGGCTTTGAAGGCTGTAAGGTTTCTGTCACAAATACTCAATTCTGCTGCTGTCTCTCTGAACGTCATCAGAAACATAGCTGTATTCCAATAAAACTTTATTTACAGAAGCACACAGCAGTCAGGATTTAGCTTACAGGCTACAGTTTTCTGACCCCTACTCTCTAACAGTGGAATTCCTCTTCTTTTTATGTAGCATTTCACTATTCATAAAACCAGTAGTCCCTCCACCTACAACAATACCATCTTTTCCATACAGCTACTTTTGAGAAACCAAAAGTTCCATCAAAGCAGAAACATTTCAAGCTTCAAAAATTTTGTAAATATTGTCAAAAAATAGTGGTGGGGATAAACTGGTAATACAGCTGCAATATCAAAGCCTCCAATGTTTCTATATAATATTTATGATGATATATTTGTCAAAACTCACCAAACGATACACTTAAAATGGGTCCATTTAATTGTATATAATCTCTTAATGCTGCTGTCTTTGAGAACTTCAAGCCTTTAATTTACAGTAATTGTAGATTTATGTGCTTGAGTGTGCTTTACATTTGCTCCTCTGAGAAACGTAGTAGTGAATTTCGAAAGTTTGAATTATGTAACAATTTAGGAATTCTGTGGCATTCACTGCATTAAATGCCACTGTCCTGTACTAAACTCTTACTAGCATTTAGAACTCAATTACTTCACGTAAGAGAGAATAAGTTGTTTTTTATAAACAACGTAAAACCCTGAATTCATGGCTTAGCCCTCAATCACAGCAAAAGAAAAAAAAAAGAAAGAAAAGAAAAAGGGAAGAAAGTTAATCTAGGCCCACAGGTAATGCTATAAGTATGTCTAATTTACTTTCTTTACTATACTTGCAATCCAAACTAACTTAAAACTCAAGTTGACCTAAGTCCTGTCTCTCTAATTTTCAGTTTGTGTTTACTCTGGTTTAGAGCCTGTCAATATTCAAACAACCAAAGCAAAAGACAAACAAGAGAGAGAATGTTAAAATTCTGGGAAATTTAAAATGGGAAAGGTATCCAAAGAAAACCATTCAGCCAACTAAACTGAAATTGCCCCAATTTGACAATTTCACAATGTCATAATTGAAATTATGACAATTTCACAACCTCAGCTACTAGCTTTTCAGGCCCTCGTACCTCATATGTCTTCATCCAGAGATGTGCGAACTCATTTAAAGTCCTCAAAGTGTCACCTGGGAAGTTGCTGGAAACACAGGAGCCCACCTCAGACTCACTGCATCAGAACTCTGGGAGGGATCCTACCATTCTATACTTACCAAATGCTCCATATGACTCTGATGCTTGCCTGAGTTTCAAAGCCTCTAATTTGAAGTTTGAAAACTAATACGTGTATATACCTTTCCTAGTTAAGTGCTGGCCCCTCATTTAACACTGATTTTAGATTCTCACCTTAAGAAAAGGTGGAATCCATGCACAAGTTCACATGCATATATGTGCCAGCCTAGAAACGCAGGAGACGTGGCTAAGTTTTTCTCTATAATGTTAAAGGAATGTTAAAAATTGTATTACAGTAAATGATATATCGCCCTCCGACCCCACCCCCTTGCTTCAAACTCACTTCTCCCATCATTCTTGCCGCTTCCTGAAGCTGCTCTGGAAGTCCTCTTTGTGAGTGTCTTTATTCGCTCTGTTAGACAGCTGCCTCAATGCCCTGAATCGATTCAAAACGTTTATCTTTAACTGTCGTTTTGGCTTTGGGGAAGAGTGAGAAGTTGCACAGTGCCGTGCATGGTGAAAAAGGTGGACGAGCACACACTGTAATGTTTTTATGAGCCTGTCTTTCCATTGGATAGCACGCAGCAGCAGCATACACTACATTTTTTTATCATACCACATGAAGATGCTCATGAAACAAGAATTCCAGAACTGCACCAATAAATTTTTAAAATTTAAATATTCACTATAAATTTCGATTGTGCCCCATATTTAAATTCTAATATTTTATAAGCACCCACATGTGTCATGCCTATACTAAAGGAAATTATCTTATTTAGCCTCCCCAGTAATAATTAAATGTACTAATATGAAGTGTACAGAAACTTTAATTCTCCAACTGGTGGTTTATTTATAAGCCTGATTGGCATGCTATGAATGCCAAGGTACTTAGATATGAGTGTTCCTTTTGCTTTTTTCTTGTTAACTGCTCTCAAAGTTCACAGTTCATTGCAGTACTTTTAAAAGGCCAATATAAGGTAACTACTCAGGCAATATTTGCTATACAAAAGTTTTACCTTCTCTTAAATGTTAAAAACCTAAGTCCTATAAATTTTGTAACATGGAAATCCATTATACTCATTCATTTTGGAATTCATTCTTTTTTATTTAACTATAAAGATAATTACCTTTGATGTAGACGCTAGAAGTTAAAAATACGAGAATGGCTTTATAATTTCCCACTGTTAATCCTGCACTACTTGCCCTAAACTAGAGGAGATGTGTTTTCATCCTGTGTCCACAGCAGACACTGTTAATCCATTCAAGGCGCTCTTACCTCGAGCCTAAAGATCACTCCCAAGATTCAGATCCTTCATAAATGCATTTCCGGCAGCCACCTCTGAGCAGTGCAAGTATATAAATGTGTTGAATATCCCTTACCCAAAATACTTGGGACCAGAAATGTTTTGGTTCATATTTTTTTTTAGAGTTTAAAATATTTGTTAATTTAAAGAGAAAAATAAAAGATAAAGTGTTAGGAAACAGCGAGGTAGACTTTGGAGATCAGAAGAGCATCTAGAGATGGAGGAGATAGGGCAGCTGAGGGGGGGGGGAGTTAAAAATGATTAGGATGCAAAATGTCGGTGAACCAGTATCCCAAGGTGAAAGGAGGATAAACCATAAATATCTGTATATACATGATGAAATAGTCTAGAAATGAAACCAAAGTATAAACATGAAATTCATTTATGTTTCATATATACCTTATACTCATATCCTGAATGTAAGTTTACACAGTATTTTTTGTGTACTGGTGTTTTGACAGCCACTCATCACATGCTTCAGGTATGAAATTTTCCACTTTTGGCCTCCTGTTAGCATTCAAAAAGTTTCAGATTTCGGAGTGCTTGTTACTGATGTTTCCAGATTAGAGATACTGAACCTGTATGACTAGTAAGATGTATCTGTTTCACTGGCCAATCAACATGTTCCTTTCTTCCTGCTCCACTTACAGCTTTAAACCTTCCCATTTATTGTTCTCAGAACAATAAAATTAAGCCTCTGTTAATCCTGAGCAGCAATCTTTACAAGTCTATGCCACTTCAAGAGTCCCAATCATCGTAGATTGTGCTGAACAGTTTCAACAATTTGAATGCGGTTGTAACCCAGCACATATTACAAAACTGCTCCAAAAATCAAAGAACCAAGTAAATAAAGGCGCTGAAGAGATAACAAAACACCTGTGAAATAGTATTCTGTGGATATAACTGGGAAATGTACAGCATGAATAGCCCAGGAAGGCTGATGCATAATACCAGGCATATAAAAACGTGACTCAAGTAAACGATTCTGATTTTGCTTCTGGTACTCACTGATACTTCTTTATTCCACTAAGGGGGCACCACACTGTTCCTTCAGCAGTGTCTCCATTATTCTAATTCCCTATGGAGAGAGGAAAGAAAAATGAAAATGCCACATTTCGCAGACAAGCCTTTTACATTTATCAGAACCCTTCCCTTCAAGGAATCCATGTTACAACATGTATCCCTTTCAGTAAAGTAGGCTCACATTTTTCCCTTATATTTTTATGATATTTTACTCAGAACTATCACATACACTACCTCCCTCCAGATATGCTCAGACAAACTTGGGGAGACAGGCAGAGTAGAATTTAGGATTTCCACTCAACATAAAAAATCAGCCCATGAGATGTTCAGCAACTTCTTGAAAGTGGCCCAGCTCCTAAGTGTCATTGCCAGGGCTGGAACAGTGGCATTGATAACATCTTCTGACCACTAACAAATGTGCTGGTATCACTGTCAAATTTTCATGTCCATTACCTTGGGTCTGGGTGCTGTGGTGCCCACTGAGATCCCCTTCAGGAGGGACACACTCCCTCCCCCACCCACCAGGACTATAGGCTGCTGAGGATACACAGCCTCCCTCACCCCAATACAGATTCCCAGGCCCGTCCTAGGACGAGTCTGGTCTAACAGAACTAAAGCAGGCCCCAGCATGCTGTACTTTTAACAAGAACTTATGTGTTCCCCTTCTAATGAAGCTAGGCAGAGTGGGCCAATAGAAGAAAGGTAGAGACTTCCTACTGGGGTTTGTTCTCAGCCAGGCAAGGGATGTGGATGAGGAGTAATCAAAGGCATTCCTAGAGAACACAATGAAATACATTTAACATCAAAGAAGCTTGGATGAGGTCTGATTCAGAAAGTTGTTCATATTCTGCCAGAGCCATCACCCTAAATGCTGCCGCTGTCTTGGAAGGATGAAGCATTAAAGGATCTTAAGAAATGTTGGGCTGCATTGAGCATTGGCTGAAAACAACAAACTGTAGGGCCTGGCACTGTCACTGGAGCCGAGATCTGGGTCCTAGTCACACAACTACCAATCATTCTGCTGAGTCCCTTAGCTGACCATTTTCACCGTGGGTACACTAGACTACAGATATCAGGGGATTACCAGGCCAATTGGCACAGTGTCTTCTACACCTAGCTGCACACCAGAATTAGCAGGGAACCCCACCAAAACAAATTCAGACTCCCAAGCCCCACCAGTGACTCAATAAGAAATTCCAGGGCTGAGGCCTGGAATCTGCATTTACAACATGCTTCCAGTGATTCCAAACACAACTAGTTCACATAATAGAACTTATAAATAACGGCTCTATACCTCTGAGATCACTTGCAACTCTGCCAGACTGGGGGTTGATAAAATAGGTTCTCCATGGCAATTTCTGATGATGTAGTATGTACCATATACTCTTAGAGCCACTCTCTTTTTAAAACAAATTTGGGAAAAAGACAGGGAGATGAATCAAGACCTGGATCGTGCTCTTTCTGTTCTCTTCATTCAACAACAATGCAATTAACAACTACTTACTATGTACTTACTATAGTACAAGCACTGGAGATTAAGTGGTGACCAAAAAAGACAAAATTCCTACCTGACTTTAAAAAGCTTACAGTCCAGTAGATTCCAAGGAATTTTCATTCTCCTTTCAATTTTTTTCTTTTTTTTTCTTTTGTTTCAATGACCCCCCTGGACAATAAATAAATGTCCTCCTATTTTCATGAAGAATAAAAATGACCATAAAAATTCATTTTCAAACTTCATTTTGTAGAGTAGGTGCATAAATCTAGATGTTATCTTTAAAACAAGAAAAGCACACTCCTTACTGGAGAAGTGAGAACCCATGAACTTTCCCATCCATCTAAATTAAGACGCCTACCACTTACTGAGCTGAACTCTAATTGACATAAATGAAGACTCAGGTTTGCCGTGGAAATTGAAAGACATTATTTATTGAATCAATTATGTTCACAATGTGACACTTGATTTTTCTCTCTTTTCCCTCTCTCACACCACTTTAGTCTTTTTAAGATGAACAGTCAGAAACAGAAGGTGGAGAATGGGGGTAGAGGGAATGTGAATTAAAAAACCTAACAGGGAGGCCAGTCATTATTTAGTACCTCTCTTTGATAAAGATAAACCAAATCAAATCCCAATCGATAGAGTTCCTTCAAATAAAGTTCGCTCCAATGCTTAAATCTCAACCCCCAGGAGAGCAGGCTTAAAGGGGCTAAATTTCCACCACTTATCACACAATGATGCCTCAAATGCAGAACAAACATTAAGTGGCAACACCTTTATAGATATAGCTTAAAAGCATTTTGGACTGACAAACCATAAACCAGCTTTATTTCATTATTTCTTTCCCCTCAGAGAATTTCTCTTCTCTATTACAAGGCTACCTTTCTCTATTTGTCAGTATAGAGATAAGTAAGCTATCTCACATGCTCATTTCCCTAACAGCAGTGCTGTGGTGCCCAAACTATTCCCACAAAGGAATCTCAGAGCCTTTCCCATTGAAAGCATTTCACAAATACCCACTCTGATGCTCAAGAATAGCTAGAAAAAAACTGTGAGAAAAAAAACAAATCTTGTCTTAAGAGGAACAGAAATAAGCTAAAACCAAAGATGGCTACATCCAGGCAGCGTATTTATTTTGTTATCAAAATGATGCTTCCTTAAGAAGTCTTGATTCACCTAGGAGGCTCCAAAGAGAGTAACATTAGACCTTACAAAAATTACAAAGTTCTAAAGCAGTTGTCAAATGGCACATCCATGCATAGCACTTAGCGAAAGACAACTGCTCACTTAAATATCACCATGATAAAAGACTGGTGTTAAAGACATCCCCCGGTGGGAGGGGGGATGCTTCCTTAAGGGTCATGGCTTTGGAACAAACACCATGAACAGTACCAGAGCCCACTGTGTGTGTCAGGAACTACACTGACAGTGTGGGGCACAGGAACACAGAAAGGACCTGACACAGCTACACAGGATTCATTGGTCCCTGGGGAGTAAAGGGAGGAAGGAAAAATACCTGAGAGACAAGACAGCCTCTGAGAAGTGGTACAACCTAAAAAAAAGAAGAAAAAGTACAATGGAAAAAAGGAAGCAGACACTAATCTTGAAAGAAAAGAGGAGCTGGAGAAGCCTCTGCAAGAGGAGATAGGTAGATCCAAAGTCTGGTCTTGAGTGTGACACACAGAGATGAAGGAGCCCAGCACAGGGAGGCTTAAGAGGCTCTAGGCCGGAAGTGCACGCCACACTCTCCTGGTTAAGCAACTGCCATCCTGAAGGTTGGGAAACCACGGCCCACCAGTCCGCTCTCCCACGCCCCACCCCAACATACCTTGATTTCCACCTTAGCTCTACTCTTTTCTAGTGAGACAAGAGCACATAAAACTTCTCTGTTTTTAGCCACAAATGGCACTGTAACTGAGCAACGACTCTCAGAAAGATCTGGGTCATTCACAAGCTAGGTGTGAGAGTCCACGCAAGATCTTAAAGTCTGTAAGCCTCAATTTTGAATTCTGAATAAAAGCAGTAGCATGGGCTTGTACTAACGAATTAGTTAAAATAATGAATAATTTGGTTATCACAGTACCGAGTGTTAAACACTAGTTGTTGGCAGGGCATGGTGGCGCACATCTGAATCCCAGCACTCTGGGAGGCAAAAGCAGAAGAGCTCCAAGTTAGAGTCCTGCTTAGGGAAGTTAGCCAGAACCTTTTCTCCAAAAAGAAAAAAAAAAAAAAAAAAAAAAAAGGGGAAATGCGAAAATCTTTTCCAAAAAAAAAAAAAAAAAAAAAAAAAAAGACTGAGGATGTAGCTCTGCATTCTGTCCTGATGACAACAAAAACAAAAACAAAAAAAACAAAAAAAAAATCCCTAGTTTCTGGCAAACAGTCAGTAAGAGAACAAATGCTATTCATATAAATCCCTTCTGTAATTCACCTAATGCCACCAGAAAGTAAACAACATGAAGTTGGAAGCCTTCTCTATCTTGTTCAAGATGTATTCAGTAGACGTACAAGGCCTTGGGACACAAAATGCAAGGGATAAATGTCTACTAAATAAATGACTGACTTCATCAATCAATCACCAGGTTATACACCTACCTACCACTTTTTTTTTTTTTCTGCTGTAGAGGAGACTAAACCTAGGGCCTCTGTATTGATTGACACACGCAGTCTTAACTTTTTATTTGCTTGCTTTTTGAGATGAGTCTTGCTAAGTCACTAAATTTCTCAGGCTTGGGTCAAACTTCAGATTCTCCTGCCTTAGCCTCCCAGTGCTGGGATTACACACATATGACACACACCTAACCATATCTATCACAATTTATAATAGGTGCTAAGAATCAGGGAACAGAACTGACTTACATTTGAATCTTACTACCTACCGCAGAATCTGACAGTGTAGGCACTCAATGTTGACAGACCGAAAAATTAATTACCTGGTCACTCCTGAATTCCAGCCAAGAATGTGAATTTCAGAATTATAGTACAATCTGCCTAGTAGTCAGCATGCTTGAAGTGTGGTTGAGAAGGTCAGCATAACAAGAGCTGCTGCAGGAGATAAAAGAACAAAACAAGGATAGAACAAAGGATGCAAACATAAAAGAAAGAAGAGAGAAAGGTGCAAAAGGGCTGACAGCAGAGGCAAGAGTTAGAGTCCTGGGGAATCTGGTTTAGCCAATAGGCATTTAGAAAGTGAGATCCTTCCATGGATGTTGAAAGATCACTCAGGCTCCATGGTGCAGGCCTATAGTCTTAGTTATTCCAAAAGCTGAAGCAGGAGCAGTGCAAATTTGAGCCCAGTTTGGGGAATTTAGCAAGATCCTGTCTCAAAATATAAAGTAAAATAAAGGGCTGGGGAGGTAGCTTAGGAGTGCAAAAAAAAAAAAAAAAAAATCAATTTTACTTCAAAAACCTCCCTTCCCTTTTGAGTCTGTTTCCCCTCACCAGCTAACTACAGGCACGCAGGGCTGCTTCCTACTCAGGGAACATGTTCCGTTCCTTCTTCCTTGCTCACTGCTCTCTCTGAGAAACATCTCCAGATCGTGCCAAGGCTAGATACTGAC